CCTAAAATGGTCGATAGGCTCTTCCAATCTCCTCGTCACCACCTAGAATACATAGCAAGATGACTAATCAACCAATATTAAATTAAGAAACTTTAAGATTTACTTCTATAATACTTAACTAAAATTGGTCGATGCTCGAATTAATTTCCCAAATATTCTTTTGGTCAATTGGAGCTAATCCCACTTTCTAATCCCTTTTCTAATAATTAATTCATCAACAAAACCTTCTTCCCAAGTTTAAAACTAATTTTACTCTCCAATCTAGTGAAACTAGTAATCACAATTCCATCCATTTAATATACATTTTGTTCCATAAAATCAACTCCCAAGTGAAATATTCCATTTATATAATCATTTCCACAATTAATTAATCCAAAATCGAATTCTAGGGTTTCCCCATAAATTTTACTGCCTACCTTGCTGAAATTGAAACTTAATTAATCCCCAAACTTGAGCTCCAAATCGTGCATATATCACCTAAATTTAAAATTTTTTACTACAAGTCAAAACCCTAGAATTTTAACATAAATTATACTTTATCACTTGAAATAAAGGGAAAAATTAAACTCAAACTTGAAGAATTTAAGCTTACCTGGCGTCCTCTTCTTCCCTTTTCTTCCTTTCTTCCTTCTCTCTCTTTTTTTTTTTTCCTTCCTTTTTTTCCTAATTTTTCCCTTCTTTCTCGGCCTTCCAACCTTCTGCCCCTTTTTTTGGTGTGTGTAAGTATGTGATTTGAGATAAAAATGGGTCAATGGTTGAATATAATGGTCCACTTACCCAAAATTGCAAAATAAGTCCTTCAACTCCCTTTTTGAATGACATTTAATCCTATAACTTCCAAAAATATATAAGTAAATTCCCAACTTTAAAATGTATCCAATTTAACTTTCATATTTTACCAATTGCAAAATAAACCCAAATAAAATATTTAATTTCATTTTAGTCCTTAATTGACTTTGACTTTGAAAATTTCACTATTGACTTTGACTAGATAAAAATGTGGGTTATAAAAATCTTACCTCCTTAAAAGAATTTCGTCCTCAAAATTCAACTGGCAAGTTAATGAATAAGTGAGGATATTGAGCACGCATCTGATCATTATTCTCCCATGTAGCCTCTTCTACTGTCTAATTCTGTCAAAGTATCTTAATAAGTGAAATTGTCTGGTTTTGCTGAATTTGCACCTTTTTGTCTAAAATTCTCATGAGCTCTTCTATATATGTTAAATTTTTCCTTCAACTGGATTGGCTGAGACTCCAGAACATGAGAAGGATCAGCAATGTATTTGCAAAGCATGGAAACATGAAAAACATCATAGATCCAGAATAATTCATCGGGCAGATCTAATCGGTATGTAACTAGGCCAATCCGCTCAGTAATCTCATAGGGTCCAATGTATCGTGGACTCAACTTTCCTCGCTTGCTAAATCTCAACACCCCTTTCCAAGATGACAATTTAAGAAAGACTTTATCTCCAACTACAAATTCAAGATCTTTCTTGCACTTATCAGCATAACTTTTCTGTCTCTCTTGAGCTGCATTCAACTTTTCTTTGATCAATTTCACATTTTCAGATGTCACTTGAACCAATTCCAGGCCTTCTAACTTCCTCTTACCAGCTTCATCCCAACAAATTGATGTCCTGCACTTCCGACCATATAAAGCTTCAAAAGGAGTCATTTCTATACTAGAGTGGTAGCTATTATTGTAAGCAAACTCCATCAATGACAAATGAGTATCCCAACTAGCCTTGAGCGCTAAAACACAAGCCTTCAACATATCCTCAAGAGTCTGTATGGTTCTCTCTGACTGGCCATCTGTCTGAGCATGAAAAGCTGTACTAAAATGTAGTTTAGTACCCATGGCTTCCTGCCAACTGGACCGAAATTTAGATGTAAAATGAGGGTATCTATCTGACATAATAGATAATGGAGTACCGTAAGAGCTCACTATCTCATCCACATACACCTTTGCCAACTTATTTGAAGTATAAGTAGCTTTGATTGGCAAAAATTTAGCCGTCTTGGTCAAACGATCTACGATAACCCAAACTCCATCATGACCATTCTGAGTACGAGGAAGGCCAAATAAAAAGTCCATAGTAATGTGTTCCCATTTCCATTCTGGGATAGGCAATGGCTGTAAAAGTCCTACTATTTTCTGATGAACTGACTTTACCTACTGACATATAAGACATTTGGATACAAAATCTGCTATTTCTCTCTTCATACCAAGCCACCAATAATGATCTTTCAATGTACGATACATTTTAATACTGCCTGGATGCATAGCATAAGCAGAACTGTGTGCTTCTTCCAAAATCTCTTTCTTCAATTCTGGAATATCTGAAACACATAATCTATTACCTATTGCCAACGCCCCATCATCTCTAATCACATAATCCGTTCTTAACCTAGTACTAACTTCTGCTTTCAATATTCTCAATGTCTGGTCTTGAGATTGAGCTTCTCTAACCTTATCAATCAAAGTGGGCCTCACATTAAAATGAGCTAATACTACCCCTGAAGTAGTAGTTGTTAACTCAGTGTGTAACTTCTTGAACTCACAAATCAATGAAGCATAAACTGCACTAGATGGAGAGGATGAACTTGTCATTCCACTGAGAGCATCTGCAACTACATTTGCTTTCCCCGGATGGTAGTCAATCTTACAATCATAATCCTTTATCAACTCCAGCCATCTCCTTTACCTTAGATTCAGTTCTTTGTGAACAAATATATACTTTAAACTTTTGTGATCAGTAAATATTTGACATTTCTCACCATAAAGATAATTTCTCCAAATATTCAATGCCAACACTACTGCAGCTAACTCCAAATCATGAGTTGGGTAATTTAACTCATGCCTTTTCAATTGTCTAGAAGCATAAGCTACAACTTTTCCATTCTGCATTAAAACACAACCCAATCCTTGGCGTGAAGCATCACTATAAATCACAAACTCTTCACCTGGAGATGGAAGAGTATGTATAGGAGCAGAAACTAATCTTTTCTTCAACTCTTGAAAGCTCTTTTCAGATCCATCAGTCCACACAAATTTGGAGTTCTTTCGAGTCAAACTTGTCAGAGGAAGAGCAATTTTAGAAAAATCCTCTACAAATCGACGATAATAACCTGCTAACCCAAAAAAACTCCGTACCTCTGTAACATTAGTAGGGCGTTCCCATTTCATTACTGCTTCAATTTTCTGAGGATCAACATAAATACCTTCAGCTGAGATAACATGACCCAAAATACAACTTTATCCAGCCAAAATTCACATTTGCTGAACTTAGCATACAACTGCTTATCTCGCAAAGAATGCAAAATAATCCTCAAATGCTCAGCATGCTCATCTCTACTGCGAGAATAAACTAAGATATCATCAATAAAAACAATCAAAAATCTGTCTAAATATGGGCAAAGCACTCTATTCATCAAGTTCATAAACGTTGCAGGGGGCATTAGTCAAGCCAAATGGCATCACCAAAAACTCATAATGGCCATACCGTGACCTAAACGCAGTTTTTGGTACATCAATATCTCTAATTCTGAGCTGATGATACCCTGAACATAAATCAATCTTTGAAAACACTGAGGCACCTCTAAGTTGGTCAAACAAATCATCAATGCGAGGCAACGAATACTTATTGCGGACTATCACTTTATTCAACTGTCTATAGTCAATACACAATCTCATTGTGTCATCTTTCTTCTTCACAAATAAGACTGGAGCTCCCCATGGAGATACACTGGGTCTAATGAAACCCTTGTCAACTAAGTCCTGCAACTGAACTTTCAATTCTTTCAGCTTCGCTGGAGCCATTCTGTAAGGTGATTGTGAAATAGGGGTAGTCCCTGGAATCAAATCAATAGTAAACTCAATTTTCCTATCAGGAGGTAACCCTGGAAGATCTTTAGGAAAAACATCAGGAAAATCTTTTACCACTAGTATATCTTCAAGTTTCAATTTAGTGATCTGGGTGTCAATCACATGAGCTAAATATGCTTGACAACCTTTTCTAAGCAATCTCCCAACAGTGCTGATATGATACACGAAGGTTGTATTCTCCGTTCACCACTAAAAACTATTTCAGGCTCTCCTGGCCTTTGAAACACCGCTTCTTTACGAAAACAATCAACTGATGCATGATTTACAGACAAAAAATCCATGCCCAATATCAAATCCAAATCATGAATATCAAGTGGAATCAAATTAGCTTTCAACTCATGATCATTCACTCTAATCATGCAATCTTTGTACACACTGTTAGCTAAAAGTGAATCTCCTACAGGAGTTGCTACCATCAAATCACTATCTAATGATTTTGACATATGGTCCGCATAAATAGCAAATGCATAAGATATAAATGAATGTGTAGCACCTGAATCTATTAAAGAATGGGCCTTTTTCCCAAAAATAGATAACGTACCCATAACCACATCTGGTGACTCGTCAGCATCATGTTGAGTCACTGCAAACAGTCTTCCCTGAGTTCTGGGTCGTCCAACCTAGCCTTTCTGTCTAGTACCATTACTGCCAGCAGCATCAGACTGAGTAGCACTTGCTTTGCCTGCCAAAGTATTCTGATTTTGATTCTATCTAGAAATGCCAACACCCGACTGCAAAGAAACCCCCTGTGTTATGCCATCCTGCTGGGAACGAACTGGACACTCTCTCCTCATGTGTCCCGTTTGACCACAATGATAACACACTCCAATTCCTTTAAGACACTCACCAGGATGAGATTTCCTGCACAACTGGCACTGGGAAAATCTGGCCACACCAAAGTTATCACTCTGTCCAGGAGTAAATGATTTCTGAGAAGATCTCTGAGTCTGAGTACGGTTACTCCCTGGCTGCTGTACTGATCCCTGAATCGACCTCGAGCCCTGACTGCCATGAGATCTGGACTTTAAACTACCAGAAGTGGAAACACCTAATCCACCTCCTCTGCGATCCCTCCTCGGTGGCCTAGTCATAGATCTTCCTGCCCATGTCTAACTACTGCTTCCAATTTTTGGTCTCATTTGTTGTTGACCACCATGTCGTTCAGACAAACTTTTCTCAACCCTTAATGCTGCTTCTACAAGTTTACCCAAATTTTCATACCCAGACGCAGTCACCACTGATCTAATTTCTTCTCTCAGGCCATACTCAAATCTTCTGCATTTATCAACTTCATCAGCTACAAGAGCAGCAGCATACTTTGATAATTTTAGAAATTTCTTCTAATACTCCGCCACAGTTGAAGTCTGTACTAGTCTCAAAAATTCATTCTGTTTGTCAGTCTTGTAAGAACGAGGGTAGAAAAGCTCATTAAAATCATCTTTAAACTCGCCCCACGTGATCATAGAAGGATCAACACATTTACTCTGTACGGACCTCCACCAATCATAAGCACTTCCTTCAAATAAGAAAGTAGCTAGTCGTAATTTTCGATCATCAAGACAATCCATCACATCAAATATTCTTTCAATCCTCACCATCCATGATTCTGCTTCTACTGGATCAGCTATGCCTGTAAATACTTTAGCTCCTAATTTAGTAGCCCGCTCTATACTACAATCTTTATCTATATTGCGTAGAGTAGAAGCAATAGCGATGGCAATCCTATCGGCTATTAAGCCAGGCTAGGCTACATTCCCATATCTCCGCTGATCATAGGTCGGATGAACTGATTCTTCGACCCTACTAGCATCCCTATCAGGAGCAGCTTGTGGTTTAGACGACATATCTTGGAGCCTGCGTGTCTTATTACCACGAGCCATGACTTCCAACTACGAAATATGTATGATATGATGAGAACAAAAATCAAATAAACCATGCAAACTGACTTTATAACCATGCTCTGATACCAATTGACACGACCCGTCTCGAATCATCCTAATAGATCCGACACGTGTTGTGCGCGGATGGTAGATTCCAGCGAAGTGCCAGACCCACTACCAAGGCAAACTTGACATACTTTGACTGTTATAATTTTATAAAAATTTCGGCAGAGTTCCTTCTGAAAAATGGACTAAAACCACTTGGAAATAAAATCAAATATCCCAAACATGTACATATAGTTTAAAACTGGATACACCGGCTCCTCAAATTACCAATTCTTCAAAGTAGTTGTACTGAAAAAGAAATTTACCATTCTCTACCACCAAACAACTTCATTTCAAAACATACACAAAATATGCAATGAGCTTGTGACTTAATACATTTTCTGACACAAAATATATCAATCCTAGAAATATGTGTTGTATGAATTAACAAGATGAGACATACAAACAATGACATGATGCAGTTCAACTTGCCGATCGACAGGCTCCGATATGGCTCAACGCAGCTTCTATCTGATAAGAAATGAGGTGGCAAAAATATGAGCTTGCGACTCAGTGAGTGGATATTTGTAAAAGTATACTTTTCCATTTATAAAATCTTTCTAAAAACCGACATATAGCACAAAATTTCTTTTCACAAACATAAACTAAAATATTTATTCTTTAAATTGAATAAGCTGAATTCTGTAACTTAAAATCTGATAATACTATCAAAACTAAAATATACTGTAACCATAAATATCTTTAATCTGTATACTACATTTTTAAAATCTAATAAGCTATTTAATACTGAAACATCACACCAAAAATGTACCTGGAATAACCATACTTGTGTGTCGATTAATCTCGATATACATAGCAAGGTTATTCAATTCTGAAATTCTATAATTCTGGTCATATTTGCGCAAAGCTATAAAATGGTCATACACTATGGAAACACATTCACAATAGTGCAGAGCAGGTAAAATCACTATACTGATCATACGCTGTGGAAACACATTCACAGCAGCGCAGAGTGGGTAAAATAACCATATGAAGTCATACAATGTGGAAACACAATCACACCAGTGCAAACGAGGGTAAAATCACATGTGTACTTTCTGGTGATTTTTAGAACATAAGTTTAAATATGCTGAAACATTTAGTACTTATATAACATGCTAATAAAATGATTTAACTCAACTGAATTTAACTTTAAAAATAATTGATAATAAAATCCATTTTTTTTTATATCATGCTATGAAGTTAACTTTATAAAATAAATAACTTTAAATTTAAAGAAGACTTATTTTGAAAAATAAGTTTTCTCCACTCACTTAATACAAGCTGAACCTAAGATGGTCGATAGGCTCTTCCAATCTCCTCGTCACCACCTAGAATACATAACAAAATGACTAATCAACCACTAGTAAATTAAGAAACTTTAAGATTTACTTCTATAATACTTAACTAAAATTGGTCGATGCTCAAGTGAACTTCCCAAATATTCTTTTGGTCAATTGGAGCTAATCCCACTTTCTAAATCCTTTTTCTAATAACTAATTCATCAACAAAACCTTCTTCCCAAGTTTAAAACTAATTTTACTCTCCAATCTAGTGAAACTAGTAACCATAATTCCACCCATTTAATATACATTTTGTTCCATAAAATCAACTCCCAAGTGAAATATTCCATTTATATAATCATTTCCACAATTAATTAATCAAAAATCCAAAATCGAATTCTAGGGTTTCCCCATAAATTTTACTGCCTACCTTGCTGAAACTGAAACTTAATTAATCTCCAAGCTTGAGCTCCAAATCGTACATATATCACCTAAATTTGATATTTTTTACTACAAGTTAAAACCCTAGAATTTTAACACAAATCATAGTTTATCACTTGAAACAAAGGGAAAAATTAAACTCAAACTTGAAGAATTTAAGCTTACCTTGTGTCCTCTTCTTTCCTTTTCTTCCTTTCTTCCTTCTCTTTTTTTTTTCCTTCCTTTTTTCCCTAGTTTTTCCCTTCTTTCTCGGCCTTCCAGCCTTCTGCCCATTTTTCTGGTGTGTGTGAGTGTGTGATTTGAGATAAAAATGGGTCAATGGTTGAATATAATGGTCCACTTACCCAAAATTGCAAAATAAGTCCTTCAACTCCCTTTTTGAATGACATTTAATCCTATAACTTCCAAAAATATATAAGTAAATTCCCAACTTTAAAATGTATCCAATTTAACCTTCATATTTTGCAAATTGCAAAATAAACCCAAATAAAATATTTAATTTCATTTTAGCCCTTAATTGACTTAACTTTGAAAATTCCACTATTGACTTTGACTAGATAAAAATGTGGGTTGTAACATTTATTCAACAGCTTCAGATGTCATTCTGCTATCTGTGTTCAGTCTGAAGTCCATATTTACAAAGGTTTTGTGGCATTTTCTCTAGCTAAACTACAGTTATCAACTAAGGTCTTGTGGCATTTTCTCTGGCTAGTATATTGATGCTTTCTCTATGTATTGAATTGGCCAAGTTGCAATATGAAATGGTGGTGGAATAATACCTTCTTGTCTACCTGGTGGTGTTTGACGTTCTTGCTACTCCATCGAGCGTGTGTAACCTGAAAAATGAGGGCGGGGCTTTCTCCCCCATTTTAGCTCCGGCGTGATAATCAGTATATGGAATTAGGAAAAATGAGGATCGAATTTAGATGGCTAAGAAAAATGCTATCATCCATACCTATGTTATCCTCAAGGGTATTTATAGGCGTCGGAAGCCATGTGAAAGTTGGGTGGTAGTGGTGCCACGTGTCCTACGTTGGCCTTCCCACTATCCCCGTGTTCTGAGTGGGGGATCTTAACTTCCTGCCCCAGAGGTTGGACCTGGGGTAACCGTCATGTAACCTCGTCAATTCATCCGGGATTTTGCGGCTAAGTGTTGAGATGACCCTATAGGCAATTTCATGTCGGTCGATGGTCTTACGTTGAGGTAGAGTGCCCCCCGGGTGGGTCGACGGTCTCTTGCTAAAGCAACTAGGGGGTCGACGATCATGCGTAGAGGTAGAGCGCCCGGGGGTAGGTAGTCTCTTGTAAAGGTAGAACGTCCTAGGGGGTCGACGGCTTCGCATTAGCGTGTAGTGATCTACCTTGCTTATCATCGGAGGTGGTTTTCTATGTTAACTAATATCACAATAGAAATATGTACAAAGTTAGGTTATGCACCACTATCCTACTTTGGACATTGATGGCACATAAATGTATGATATCGTTTACAGAATTTTCTTTGTTACAGAAATTGTCATGCAAGTATGTAGGCAAATGAAAACATGTTAAACGACAAATTAAAACATGTGCTTATCATTGTGCAATTTATGATATTTTGAAAATTGATCTGAATAAAAACTAGCCTACCCAACACGCTAGGGATGCAGTACAAAGTTTTCTGAATAAATTTAATAAAATTTATGTAATAGTATAGCATACGTTTTAGTGTATCTAGAACAAGTGTACATGTTGTAAGTATAAAGACTTTTAGTAGGGAAGTATCTTAAAGACATTAACATATTTATTATTTGTAGATAAAAAATTAGTTTCTTAGTAATAATATATGAGTTATTTTCAAATTATGTAGTTAAGATATTTTAAAACTTACAAGAATTTATTTATAGAAAAAAAAAACACTTGGCCAAACAAGAACTAAGAATTTGTTTATACAGAAATTTAATTTTCGATATACGCTAAATTAACAAAATTAGATTAGATTGACCAAGTTTAATTTTTGAATTTTTAAATACAAGACACATTTCATAAGGGTGAATTGGATAACCAAATTTTAATTTATAGCGGATTGTTCTTGTTAAGAATATGCCTGCCACAATCTCTTAATGGTATTCACATATTAAATAGGTTTTTTTTTTCCCCTAAATGGATTATGATAAATTTTCTTCTAAAAGTTGTTCAATATTATTGAAAAAATTAATATGTACTTACTGTTTATAAAGCATATATGGGAAACAATAAACCCCTATATAGATTGGTGTGTATAGAGTGAATCTTATCCTTCAAAAATGCTCAGCTTGAATAACCTTAGATACTTTGATATTGATGCATTGGAATTATGTGGAATAGCATTCCAAAATACCTGGTGATTAACTAGAATACTGAGTATATAGTCATTGCATATTTGTTGATTCGCTAGGAGAACTAAATAGTTGGAAGAATTGACAAACTCTCAATTTTTTTATTTAATAAAAAAATTAAAAAAACAAGTTATAAAATGTTTTAATAGGAAAAAGCGAAGTATGAGGAAAACCTAAACATGCAACGTATATAATTTCCCTTTAGTAACTTAATTAGCAAAAAGTAATAGAAACAAAATATAAAACTAAGAAAACAATTTAATAAGTAGTTGAAGTCTATTTACATTGTTCTTCAGTCATTCAGTATTTGATTTTTTGTTTTGTTCTGCAATTCCAATAATCATGTATGGCAATGTGGAAAAAATGAATCCAATATTTTAATTTTAAACCCTAGCTTTTATGTGCTTAGGGTCCTGTAGTTGTTCAATATTGGAACGTTAAGAAATACACAAAAATACAAATTTTCTTTTGTTGAGTTCCGACACACAGCAACAACAAGATAAACTCAACACACGGCAACAACAAGATACAATCCATCTAATAAAAATCATGAGGATCCTGCAAACTACATCTTTTTAAGTTGGCTTCAGAAGCATTTTGAATGTTTTTTCTTTGTCCTCATATTTGTAAATACCCGCGTTACTTGGCACAACCGCAGGGTTAACTTTAGCAACAGTCCTCTATGTTTCATATCCATTACGACAGTCAGAGAACCTCTTTATCTCACCCACCCCATACAAAAGGGGAATTTCATTGATTAGTGATAGAGAGAAATTATTATCCTTTGATCTCTCATACTGTAGAGATGTCTAGCGTTCGCATCCTAGAGGATTGCAAAGAAATTTGTGACGGATAAGATGCATTTCGAATAGAAGTTAATATCTCAGAAATAGTGTTTATACCCATGGAGAACTAAAATTATGATTTCTCCAAATTTGATATGCTCATGACCTCAAAACGGACAATAAATTCGAATTAAAGGCTTAGGCTTAGGCTTAGGGTTAGGCACAGGCTCGGATGGTTACACTATTGGCATGGTTCCATCTTTAAATAAGAAAAGATAAGCATGCTGCAATATATCATGTTGAACGAATGCAATATGTCCTATGGAATAATGCTCTAAGTATAGATTTTGTATAGAAATACAGTTGTCTTCTTGTAATTGATTGTTGCTAATTTTTTGCAACAGCAAATCACAGAAAGATAATTCTATGAAAAAAATCTGTACTTGAAGAGTTTTCTTTATTTTTGCACCCTCCATTTCACATTGAAACGCCCGTGAGTGTAGATGTACTATAGATACTTGTTTCTTAGAAAAGAAATCTGGGTGTGCACTGTAGCTAATCTCGACGTGTACTGTAGCTGCTTTATTCGTGTGTGAGAACAAAAACCTAGGTGTGTACTTTAGCTAATTTTTTTGTGGTAAGAAAAGTAACAAATCATGAAATTTGCTTCCTATTTGGTTCATATGTGGACCCTATTTATTGATTTGTCAGCAGGTGGAATTTACTTCTGTGATAGTATATTAGCGTATTAATTTTTTAACTGCCATATCAATCTTAACATTATTTGGTATTGAGAATAACGTGAAGCTATAAGGTGAAGGATAATTGTGGCAAACTAATTATTAAAGGGAGGTATAATGGTCTTCTCGAAAGTACCATTGTATGATAAACTTACCGTAGCACCGTAATGATCCTCTTCAATTTTTTTTTCTTCTACATTCTTCATTACTTCCGCTTCCGCTTTACAGAAACAAATTTAAAAGCTTTATTGTCCTCTTCTATTCATTATTTTCAACATTATTCCCTTTCTCTCTTGGCCTCTACTCACCACCATCAAGGAAACCTAGCCGCACAATTCCTTTAATCTATGGAATAATCAATTCATAATTATCGATAGATTTTAGATTCCATAATTTGTATACTTCAGTTTCTTCAAGCCCCAGGACTCTAGAGGAGATCATTGAAGATTATAGTGCTCGTCGTCGTGGAATTATTCGTGCTTTAACTTACGATACTCTGTATAGTTTATACATACATTCAAGAACATGGAAAATTATTTTTTTGTAAATATATAACTTAATTTGCAATGTTGTTTCCTTTTTGGGTTTTACATATGTGGATGAATTTTACCGTTTCTGTGATTCATGAGGTTTACTTCAATTTTTTTAACTTCATGTTTAATTTTTTTTCCCCCTTTTTTATTTATGTGAATTTGTTGTTTTGAGTACGATAATTTTTTGTAAATATGTAACTTAGTTTGGAATCTTGTTCTCGTTTTTGGTTTTTGTAGATGTCGTTGAATTTTACCGTCTCTATAATCTAGGAAATTTATTTTATATTTTTAGCTGCTGAATTTTTTTCCATTTTTATATATGTGAATTTCTTGTTTCATGTACATCAACATTGACCTTTTAGTTCGATAGTTATTGTTAAGAGATAATGAAAATTATTAATATTGGGAATTTTTGTTTCATTATGAGTTTTTTTTTTTCCAATTGAAATTTAAAGGTTAATTGTGCTGCCTTTGTTAATATTGAAAGTTAATTATAGAAATTTTATAGCTTTAACAATAGATTCCTTTAAGGATTAAGCAATTGTTGATGTCCTTTTTTTTTTCAATACATTGAAAAGAATTGCACAGAAATCTTTTCTTTTTTATTTTTCCATGAAACAAGTATTTTCTGTTGGGAATGTATACTACGGAAATTGATTTACCTATGACAGAACAATGTAACTATTATTTTTACTCTTTACTTGAGGTTGGACAAGAGTTTTCTGTTTTTCTTTCTTAATGCTAAATTTGATTATGTCAGTTAGTTTCTTAAGCAGTGGAATACGAATATTAATTTTAACCATTGGTTTATCTTCTTGTTATCATGCCTCTAGTCAAAGTTGTTGGAAAGTTTCATAATTGGCTTGTGATTAACAATTTTATTTTTGTAGTTTTATTATTTTGTGCAAATCGGATTTGAAGCTGCATTGTTTGATCAGAAAACAACGTTTACATCATACTAAGGTTGATTGTTCTAGAGTCTATTTTATTTGTGAAGATTTTTTTATTTATGTTATGAAGTTAAATTTATTTGGAATCAATAAAAGTTAAGGGGTTCAAATTTTGAACGATTTGCTGCAGGAGTTTTGTGATTAAGGTATTTTGCATTTATTTTGAGATGCAAAATATGGTTTGAGAAGTGACCAAATCTGCCAGTTTTTTGGCATATTTTGTTGCTGTACTGTTGAAAAATCAAGACATGTTTCTCATCAAATATTTGAATATTGTTCACAATATGGCTTTTTGGTCCTAATTCATTTAGTAGGTTATTATCCAGTGTCACCAATAGAGTAGTCTTATTTGCTGGTGTAAATTTTGTTGTTACACTTTAATTTAATCTTTTCCCTATTACATGATTATGTTTTACTGAAGTTTGTACCTTTTCATCATGTGGAAGCATTTTGTATCTCCGTTAGCAGTGTAATGGGTACTTACCATTTTCGGTATGTAAAAATCGACTTTTCAACTTTTCAGTGAAGAAGAAGCAAGAATGAAAACCAGTTCGGTATCTACATGGTATTACTTTACATTTTGAGCACTTTTGGGAGAAAATTTGTCTTACAAGTTGAAAGGTAATAGTTTTTTTCATGCATGATCATTAGGAGCTCCTGAGATTTAATTTGATCAATTACAACTTACGGTGTAGTATTGCCCGGAGTTAGATGAGCGCTTCCTGATTTCTACTTGAATGTCAAGAAGAAGGATTATGTAGGTATGTACCTTCATTCCATGTTTGCTTGTATTTGTCCTTGGTTTTTACTTCATTATTGTACTTTTGAAAAAATTTGTTGCTTTCTTAATCACAATACATGTAGGATGATTACTACTGCTTCTATTTTGCACTGAAAATTTCCTTTATGTCTGATATATCTTAAAACCATCAATTTTTTTCAAGATTTCAGTCCCGTTGGTTGTTTCTTTTCGAAGGGAAAGGAGGATTTTGGAGTAAGCTTTTTCATTCATTTTGCACAATCTGTTGAATCTATTAATTTTAGTTTGGGTATTGTTCTAGGTTCAATATCACATTCCTCATCGACTTTATCGCATATCTTTTCTGGTTTTACTTTATTGATTTTCTTTAATTAAGTTTTCCTCAAAAGGGGTTTGTCATTTCTGTAGGGCCGTTGATTTCTGAAATAATAAAGAAGTGGATGATAGAGGAAGAGGTGGTGGTGGATGGTATTGTGGCTGTGAAGTGAATTTCACACAAGGTCTTAATCGAGGGAACACTTGCCATTCTACCTCTGTTATATTCCATTTTCCTGAACTTTCCATCTTTCGATATATGAGCAGAAATTGTAACAATAGGGATGCTATGTATGACAATAAAATTTCCATCCGTAACATACTAACGTTACCTTCAAAATAACCCAAGTACTTATTAAAAGCACCTGTACATAATCTGGGTGATGTTGTTCTCATGTGCTGAAAGATATACCACATAGCAATTCCAACACCTGTAACTATAATGCCAAAGAAAAGATAGTTCTAACTTTTTAATAAGAACTCTTTAGTTTGCATGTGGAAATTATTTAAATACATCTGATCCATACCTTTCAAATAATGGAAGGATTCTTCCACCAATCTCATTATGTGCACTTCAGTTTTCCATTATATTTTGCAAATGAAGCAACTGATTAGTTATATCGAAACTCCCTCTGCATTTGAAAAATTCTTGGGCCATGTTCCTTCAGATTCCTTTGTTTCGACTGAGACACTCACAAGAAGAACATCATTTTCTTCAATTCTCCATCAAATGTAGCATTAATAATTAAATTGCTTTTAGATTCATCCCCTTCTCACCCCCCAATAAAAGATTATCTCTTACCATATTCATGTCAATGTAAATTATTTTCCTTGAACAACAAGTAAATAAAATAAGTATTCTTCCCTTTGCTAGATCGAGACAAAAGTACGTTTAGTACAATTTGAATACTCCCAAATCCTAGCTTGGAGAAATTCAGCAATGCCTAGGGATGAAATAGTTGGAAATGATTATCTATTTCAATGCCTAGGGATGAAATAGTGTCGTTTTCTCCAGCTAGTATATTAATGCTTTCTCTATCTATTGAATTGGCCAAGTTGTATTAGAAGTACTTACAAGGTTAGGTTATGCACCATGAACATACTGTGCGCACTGTTCGCACATATTCATGTACTTGTATGCATGTTATTATTCACGGAATTTACATTTTTACAGAAATTGTCACGCAAGTATGTACATACAAATGAAAGCTTGTTAAACAACCAATTAAAATTCTTGATTATCATTGTGCAATTTATGATATTTTGAAAATTGATGTGATTAAAAACTAGCCTCCCGAACATGCTAGGGAGGCAGTACAATGTTTTCAGAATAAATTTTAGAAAATTTAAGTATTAGTATAACATACATTTTAGTATATCTAGAACAAGTGTACATGTTGTATTTATAGACTTTTAGTCGGCTAGCATCTTAAAGAGATTAACACATTTCTTACTTGTAGAATTGCTTAATAATAATATATGAGTTATTTCCAAATTATTTAGTTAATATATTTTATAACAAGCAAGAAATGTTTTTTGAACTTGGCCAAGCTAGCACTAAGAAACAATCTGTTTAGACAGAAATTTAATACTCAGTATACATTAAATTAATTAAAAGAGAATAGATTGACCAAGTTCAATTTTT